CCCAGAATTCCCCAGCCAGCATGGCTGGCTGGGGAATTCTGGGAGCTGAAGTTCACACATCTGAAAGTTCCCAAGGTTGAGAAACACTGCTCTAAGGTATCACCTGTCTGGATTGGGACCTGGTCTCTGTTCCCAATATATTGTTTTTTGTTATATAAACTGATAATGACCACCTGAATGGCATACAGGAACCCAGAACCCAGTTTAAGAGCCCCTGTCTGATAGGAATGACTTCTTCAGCAGTGTGAAACACTATAAAATAAATGATGCTACCTTTAAAATGCTTATCTTATTTCTCAGTTTGTGGAGAAAGCATTTTATTTATTGTTATAGATCTATAGTCCTAAATGACATTATTGCAGTACTAAAAATCTCAGTTGGAAACACAGAATGTCCTTGACAGTAATCTCAGTCAATCTACCTCAGGCAATATAATGAGGAAGAGATGGTGGATACTTTTGACTGCAGCTGTTAAGTTTTGTTATGAACTTTATAACTGGTAATTCCACTAGAGACACAAATTATTCAGAATACTTGCATTTTAAATATCAGAGTTACTAGCCCTGCAGTGATGCATTAAGGTTCTGTATCATCAACAACACTCTATGGGCCAGCTTAATATTGGCTTTATACTAACGGCCAAGAATAGTTATCGAGGTTAGACTGGAAGCAGATAATATATTTGGGTGTACTGAGAGATGCTTTTGAAAAACTCAGCTGCAGTGGCTGTGATGGTGACTCAGTGATGTATTCAAGAAAATGATTATCTGATTTTTTCCCCCTTTTTCTTAATGAAAATGTAAGGTTTGCAACCCTGAATCCCAGAGAAATCCAATGCCAAGAATTCAGGAGGAGGCTCTTAGAAAGAAACAGCTTTTTATTCGGCCGAGTAAAGGAAGCTGGGTGGTCACCAACCCAAAGCATAGGCAACAGATATGCCAGGGCTTTGCCACACCAACGGAAATGCAAGCTTAGTTTTTATAGTTTACAGGGACAAGGCAAACCGCAGTTTGAACCGGTTTAGCTGTAGACCCTTTCCAGAATGCCCTCAAGGTACACAAGGCAGTTTGAACCAGTTTAGCTGTAGACCCTTTCCTGAATACCCCCAAGGTATCCTGCGTACATGTCCCTCTCACTTCGAGCTAATGGTGTCTTTCTAGTGAGGCTGCAAAGACAACCCCCCCCCTTCAAAAACAAAACCTTTGGGTTTGGGAAATGTATTATCAGAGGTTTAAGTCTACTTTACATGGTTTCTTTAAAAAAATAATTAAGCAGAAAGCCACATAATTATTCATTGTGATCTTAAATGGCTGCAAGAAGTCACCAAAAAGAGCTTCAGAATTTACTTTGGCCCACAAGGCCAAGACTACATCCGATTAGATCTCTGTCCATTCTGCTTAACAGAACAACATTTGCTTCTTCTAACAATAAAGCTATGGAAAAAATATGTACACCACTTTTGCTCTTAGCAAGAACCACAAGGCAAGCTCTACCGTGAAGGCCTTTTTCTTTTGGCGGCACTTGTCAACAAACCAAGAAAGGGAAAGGAAACCCTTTCCAGCTGGTTCAGATAATTCCCAGACTACAGACACACTTAAGAGGAAAAGAGGTACTGTTCTTGAAAGTAAAATCTTTGCCTCATTGTGCTTGGCAAGGGAGACCCTTTTACTTCCAAGGGTGCTCTTTTGGGCATGCCACTCAACCCTGAGTGAATCTTCAACGCCCCATATGTTTGAATAGGATTATGGAGTCCTTGGCGTTCTCTGGGATTGGCTGTTTTCCTGCAGAGGTTTCGTTACCCAACTAGGTAACATCTTCAGTGCTAGAAGGGAGTGGGGTTTGCTCTCTGTGTATATACAGTAGCTTGCCCTGTTAGTGTTGGTTTCAGTAGGATGTTACAGGCTAAACATATTAAGATTATATTTCCATATACCATGTTTATCTCTTACAATTACTAGTTACAAGGCATTATTATACATCTTATGCTGTACATTTGGATTCTATGATGGTCATTCATTGTTTGTGCCAAGATCTTAATAGCTTGTTTCCATTTCACCCTCCTAGTGATGGTATTTACAATGCCTTCCAGGTGAACGTTTAATCCTAAATGACATAATCGAAATCACTTCTTGATCCAGCTTGCTACAACACCGTACCTTAGTGTTTTCCCCCCACAAATGCAATTGCTGCTCAGTGACCACATCTTAATGGAAAGTAGCATTTTCTGATGCCTGTAATGCAATCAAGTGCCAAATTCCATTGCATAATATAATTGTGGGTGGTCATGCATGTTTTTATTATATATGTTTTATTATATATGTTTAACATTTAACCATATATTGCAAGTGATAGTATAGCACTGCAATTGTAAGAGAAATGAAGGGTTATACTGCTATTCATGGTTTATTGCAGCTATAATGAAACACTAATTTTAAAACGTTACTTAGAACATGTAGTACAAATCACAATAGTGCTAAGGTTATGAAAGATGAGTGAGATTTTTAAAAAATGATAACTAAATGGCATCTACAGAACTGTTCCAGAAGGCCTTTCTAAAAATACATTCTTCACCTTAGAATTATCAGCAATATTGGTGCAATGTGAGCATCCTATACAGCACAGGCCTAGTTTTCTTCCAAAGCTGGAAAACAAGTAGACTTTCTCGTGTAATAGTAACTGTGACCTTAACATAGGACACTTTAATCCATTATAGAATACTGAGAAATAAATAGGAACAGGAACTACATAGAGAAAATTGTACAATTTATGTTTCTTGGCAAGGACAGATTTGCTATGAGGATATATAGTTTTTAGGAGATTACACCATATCAATAGTATTAAATTAAATAAAAAGGAAAATACTAATATTCTAGAAAACTCACTACATCCCAGCAGAAAGTAATTGACAGATTCAGTTCCAGTTTCAGCTTACATGCCAAACTTCCCATCATCTTTGTGGACAGATGTTGGATATTTTTTTATTAATCCAGAGTTTTATACACACACACACACACACATATACACATATACAATTATATATACATATATATAATTTTGATTATAGTAGTAAAATTTAATACAAACTAAACTTAAAGAAAGAGAATATAATGGAAAGAAAGAATAAAAGGTACAAGGAAAAAGAAAAAGAAATGAAAGAGAAAAGAAAGAAAAAAGAATATAATAAAGAGAAAAGAAATATATAAAGAAGTTACTTCCAACTTTCATCACAACAGGTATAAACAAATTTAGTGACTCTTCACCCCTCTAAGTTTACAAACAATTATCTCCATCCCATATCTCATCTGTTATCTTCAGACAAATCCATAAAACAACATCTTTTCAGCCCTGGTGTCAGCTTAAAATCCATAAAGGAGTGCCAGAAATAACAGCATATCTTGTTTTAACTTTGATCAAATGAACCAACTTTATATTCCTTCCTTTTACTTCTAACAGTCCTAATCTTTAGTTAATTCGAATATTGTCATAGGATTTGATTTCTCTTCATTTCTCCTTCTTCAAGGCTTTAACAAGCCTCTTTTTCAAATCCAATAGGAAAATATTATCCAGGTTTATTACCCTTGGTTTATCATTTGTATTTCCCTTTTGGATTTTAAAACTTCAGCCAATTTCTTTTGTAAATCCAATGAAACATCCTTTTCCAGAAGTTTTATTCTTGTTAGATAAAATTTGTCATTTCTTCAATAACATATTTTGGACATAGTCTATCCATAGAAGCAGACCTCATTACTGATATTGTTGATAGTGTGGCTACTAATTTCTGACTCCATTCTTCTCCTTCAGTATTTTCATTGGTTATAATATATTGCATTTTATAGGCTTGTATTTTTTTCCTCTACCTAAAGTCTTTAGTCCCCTCAAGTGTCCAGTTTTTAAATCATGAAATTGCTTATCTCTGTTATGTCTTCCAAAAACCCAAACAGATCTATTTCCCATGACAAGTTGTTTGTTCCTTATAATTAATTCCAAAATCTTATTGTAAAAGTTTAAATATTGCAAATTTATCTGCATCCTTAATCTGTTTAAAACTTTCTAAGATCAAAATCTTATTTAGCTTTTTGCTGTTTATTTCAAATTCTTTAAGTTCTTAAGCTTGTGTAATTAATTTTTCTTTTGTTCAGTTGAAGATAAAGTCACCCAATGAAGACTTTTCAGCCTTGTCATTCTGAAGGTCTCTAATAGTTTTAAAATAGTTAATAGGCAATTTCAAAAAGTGATTAGAAAGTGAGATTTGTGAACTTAGTGAACTTTAAAAGGCTCTGCCACTGTGGTGAGCAAGTTGGCTAATCCCTTCATCTCCTGGTGCTGAAACCCATGGAAAACTGCTGTCTTGTGGTCTCCTCTCAACTAGCAGTCATCCGGAGCACATGTAGGCAATCTTCATCCTCTCCTTATCTGGAGAAGTTCCAAGGAACTGGTCTACTCACTAGCTCCTTGGCCTTGGTCGTGGTCGTCGGCTCTGCTTTCGCAGCACCATCTTCAGTTCACCATACTTCCCATGGAAGTCCATTTATCTAGGACTGATTAGGTTTGGTGAACAGATATTGTTCATAAGTAGCTTTTAATTTTTTTGGCTTTTTGTTTTTTAGCAACCTACAGAGAGAAAAACTTTGCACAAGAATTCTCCAGATGCTCTTTCATGTTGCTTACTGATAAAATGTTCACACCAGAAGTTGCTTGCTGAAAAGAGGCCTCTGACACCCACAGACTTACAGGGGTATTGCAGTTTTTGCCATGAAGTTTCCTTTTCCAGCAGAGGGGATAAACAGGCCAGTGACATAAAAACAAGGAGAAAAACCAAGGAACAAAACTTAGAAGTGCGCAAGCTCAACAATGGCAAAACAAAAACCTCTTTGAAGCTACCGTATCAACCACAACGCGCAATACAACTTAGAGAAAGGAAGGCCACTCAGATGCTAACTATTGTTCTTGGTAAGTAGAGGGTTTTCCACCCCTTTAAAAAAAGTGTAATTATTCTATATCAGTATATAGCATATTGCTACTAGTATGAAATGGCATATTATTATATAATTTTGTGCTATGTCTTTGGGTAAAGTATGGAAGGACGTGTATGGAAGGTGGTATATATAAGACACAGTTAAAGCAAGAAGCAAAGAAGAAGAGCCCGTTCTGGTAGATGTCAGCCTGTGCAGCATGTACTTCAGAGCTATCATGTAGAATTGTGCCTCAGTATTGTATATTGAGCATGGAGTGGATTCCTGCTTTGATTCGACTGAAGCTCTAGCCTACCCTGGTCAGCTAAACTTCTAGTTGGGCGAGTATGTGTGAGCATGTGATACTGCGAAACATTCAAACCTTTTAGTTCAGAAAGTGATAGATACCAGTCATAAACTTACATTTGTTTCTGCATGTCCTTAATAAGAACAAGAGTTGTCGTGGAGTTGGGTGATATCTAAATCAAATAAATAAATAACAAACATGAGGACCTATTTATAACCCTCTGTGTGACATTAGTAGATGGCATCTGAGTTCTTTAAAAAATTTAAAATGGCCCATCTCACAAGATAGCCAAGGTTTGTGTAATCTCTGCATTTCCACATGAAATCTCATAAGATTTGACTATTTTATTATTTTTCATGTTGAAACATTTTTAAAATTAAATGTGTACATTGTTTAAAAATAAGTTAACTTTTTAAAATATGCAATATTTTGGTTATATTTTAAAATGTTTTGGCACCCACAAGATTGTGTGAAATCACACATAGATGCCACTTGCAGAAAAGATTGCTGAGTCCTATTTTAAGGAAAAGTAGATATAGCAGTTTATGAAGCCAAAGAATAAAAGGAGGTACTTAATACTGTTTTTGGTTCAAGTTTTTTTCCCCCCATTTTGTATCCACCATAGAGAAAAGACACAATCACACATATGTTTTTCAATTCAGATTACCAAGAAATGTGAAGCACCTTGCTTCAAAGGGTAGGAAATGGGGAATAAATTAACAACAAAAAGAATCATATTTAGAAAGCTTCTTCCATTACCTTTTAAATGTAAATCTATGTTGGCTAAAATCTATATTTAGTTTTATTATTGTTACCTTCCACTTGTTCTTTGCTTTTAGCAAGTCTCACACATGTGAACAGATAACCAAGGATCCCTAGGTAGCTTCTAGTGTAATGTGCAGAGTTACCTTAAAAACAGACAGAATTAGGTTGACCTTATTCACTTATTATCTTCAGAGCGGCAGCTTGCCTTGATATGAGTGGTTTATGATGTATGTGGATAAAGACTTATGTCCACAATGAAACACTACTGAACAAAAGTGTGTTGCTTTCCCATTTATTTGTTTGTTTATTATATCTAGGGACTTTTATAGTCTGCTGGCTGCCATTCTTCGTGACACACATATTGAATACTCACTGTCAAGCATGCCACATCTCCCCAGAGCTCTACAGTCTTACCACTTGGCTTGGTTACATCAACAGTGCCCTCAACCCTATCATCTACACCACCTTCAACAATGAGTTCCGTAAAGCTTTCCTTAAGATTCTGTACTGCTGAAAACTTGGAGAGTGCCTCAGTTTTGCATTCCTTGCAGAAACTGGGTATAGCTGAGATTGATTAATGTACATCAAGATGAATTTTCTCAGTCATCGGTGAAAATGAATTTTGGACTAATTTTTCTATGGACTTCCTCTACCATCTAATGTGGGAAATATTTTTGCAATGGTGAGATTCATGAATTATGTGATTTGTGGTAAAGACCAGAACTCTAAATCTCACTAGAGCAGTATTTGGTACTGCAATATATTTTTATTAGTTACTGTAATATATTTTTGTTAGTTTAAGGGACACAATGTGCAGAGCAAAGCCTCTGCCCTAGAATTTGCATCCCTGACAAATACAGATTCTAACATTGTTCCAATGGTTCCAATATGCAATATTATTGTGATTGCCTGTTGAGCACTGTAATAGAGCTACGTTTTAAGATATTTTGGCATAAATATTCAGGGGTGGTCCAAGACAATTTGCCACCTAAAGTGGGAAAACTATCTGTACTCTTCACCTTTTCCTTCGCATGCATGTTCCATAAACTTCTTCAGTACCATCACTGGCTGCCTATAGATATCAGTCTCTGATTTCTCCATAACTACCTTATAATGTATTATTTTGAGATCTTTTTCACAGGAACACATATAGAACCATTGGCCAAACAGACAAACTAGTCTAAGGACTGTGTTCCTGAAGCACAATGAACTGTCTCTTCACATTAATAAGTCCACTTGTCCCAATCGACCAACCAAAGTGGCTACTTCATTCCATGAAACTATAGAGCTGCCATTGTAATTACTTGTAATATATTTACTAGGTCAAGAAATTGAATTCAAAGAGCAAAATGTGATTTGGATTGTGTGTACATAGGACTTATCAGAACATCTTGAAACCAAATGTGTCTTTTCCCAGGACTGAAGGTTAGCTGCAGAAGATAACTGCATGAGTCCAGTTGCAGAAATGATGCAGATGTTTCAATATGTTCCAAACAGTTGCTTCATATATCGTCTTTGAATCTTGACCTTTGATCAGCTCTAATATTTGAAATGTAATGCAACCATTTGCTTTGGCACCTGTAAATTGTAATGAAACTGAATGCACACACTTTAAAATGTCTGGTTATTCTACAGTCCTGTATGAAATTAGTGAATCATGCTAGCAAGTAGGAACCAAGGAAGAAGTGGTTTGAGGATGATTGACTTCATTCACTGAAACATCTCTTAGATTTGTAGCTGTACATTGAAAAAAATTACAAGAGTTGATGCCAGACAAAGCAAGTTTTGTATACTAATATCCATGGACGGTGCCTTCCTGAGGTTCTGAAAAGCCCTTAAAACCCAGCTTTGGCCCCAGGCCTGGGGTTAATGTGTTTATGGTGGGGCTGTCATGCTTTGTTTTAATGGTTGTTTTTAGTTTGGGCTATCTTGTTTAATTTTATGTTTTCTATTGCTTTAATTTAGTATTATATTTTGTAAGCCACCTAGAGTCCACTGGAGTGGGTAGCTATATTATAATAATAATAATAATAATAATAATAATAATAATAATAATAATAATACCAACAGTCAATTGCAAAAGGCAGCTTTACTTGGAACAGCTTATATCCTGGAACAATACCTTTAACACCAGCAAACATTTGGCTATCCCAGGAGCTTGGAAGGACTTGATAGGTGGACAAAAATGCCAGTCTAAACCTCTGGCTGACTGTGCAACCAAACATAATAACTTTTTTTAAGATACACCTTACTAGAAGATAAATCCAACCAACATCAGTAATGTTTCTAGACAATTTATTTATAGTACAACCCTACATATGTTATAATGTGGATATATCCAAAACTAAGCATACATAAAATGGTTGCCTCTTCAATCCATTTAGCCTCCAAAGATGCTTTGGGTGCTCTGGTAGAACTACTTTGTACAAGGAAAAGTTCCATTAACAGATATTGCTTCTGCTTAATTTTAAGGGACTTTCCCCTCAGTCTTTCACACAGCCATCCCCATTCAGGTTGTTTCTCCAATCGTTTGTGCAGCATTTTGAGGGAGGTAAAAGGTTGCCATAGGAGGAGAGGCCAGGAAACTGTTCCCACTCTAATTACGGATGCTTAAATTTGAATACAATTACATTTGTATTTGATTGGTCTTATCCCAGAGTAAATTGTTTAATTGGGGCATCATGAGTTTGTACTTTTGTGATGCTGTTAATCTTTGTACACTGCCCAGAGTCATTGCTGTGAGATGGGCAACTCTATAATTTTAAATAAATAAATAAATAAATAAATTTTTAGAAATGAGCATAAGATTACAGGTACTTAATAAAGATCAAGACAATCTAGATTCACATTGCAGTAACCCTGGGTTTATTTTAAACATGGTATGTTGAACAAACAGTGTAGTCTAACCCATAAACCCTGGTTTGTGAATAACAGTGACTGGACTGATATTCTTCTGCTAAGCCAGAACTAAACATTTTATGTCTTAGTGTCTAGCCACTATCAAATTATTTTTCAGCACAAGATACATTGTAACTTCCGAACTTAGAGCTGAATATCCATGCTATTAGTAATAAGTACTGCAATATTTCTTTCTGTCAAAAGGTTTTGAAAGCAACTCACAGATCTTCAGATAACTAATTTAACCTCTTACAATTTTCTTCGGTACTTAGTTACCTGGCCCACCCTTTACCTGCTTCTTTGTAACATTCCTGTGACAGCTATACCAATAAACACTTTTAGCCAATCAAAATATACATGAGAACAGAACAAGCAATATCAAAAAAATGCAGATTACGGGACAATATCAGAGGTCAGGGAGTCTTCAAGTGCAACAATAACTGAAAAAAACAGAACAAAACAAAACAATGCCGAAGATGACAGGCAATATACCGTATTTTTCCTTCAATAAGATGATACTTTTTTCTAAAACAGTTACACTAAAAATTGAAGGGTGTCTTGTGCAAGGAAGTCAGCCAAGGAGAGAACCGCACGGTTGCAAAACTGCCCATACTTTGTCTCTGCAGACAGGCTTTTTTCTATTGCTAGCCTCCAATCACGAGTGAAATAGCTTGTCTCCCAAACGGACTTCCTCCAATCATGAGCCTGATGTAACTGACGTCAGCTGATGCTGAACAAACCAATTG